GGAATATGTCTTCACAAAGAACGAATATGAAGGTAGGTTTGAAGCTATTCCTTGATGAGTTCATAGAACTGCATGTTACAATTCTTAACTAAGGGCAGAAGCTGCACAACAAAATCATAATTCCAAGAAACAAATAATTCAGTTGCTGTATTTTGTGCAGTAAACAACAAGACAAAGCACGTGAAGAAAGAGAAGCCTCCTGTTTTGTTTTTCCACAAACAAGTAATAATTACTATAATACTATAATTATAATCGTCAACAGCAGCTCCAAAATTAAGATGATTCTAAAAAAGAAGTTTGATGATTCTGACAAAAGAAGAATACATTCAAGCATTAAAACTATAGAATATAGAAATGCTCTGAGAGGAGCTACTCGTCCCTATGAATTTTTATGGAGATAGAAGAACACAAAAATACCTGCATCAAATTCAAACTCTGCTCCATCGGCACTTGTGTCACTCTGAAGACCACCTCCATTGTCTAATCCCAGTCCATCCTCATGCTCGTGGCAGGCATTTGTCTGTAGTTTCACTGGCTGAGTTGGTCTGTGTAAGCTGACTCCTTTAAAGGCTGGGGTCACCACAATGAACTTCATCCATTGCCTTGCTAAGGCAACCAGACCTTTCTTTAAGGTCACCAAGGTGTTGGCTCTTTAAAATTCTTTATTATAATTTGGACCTAAATAACTTAAAGGCATAAAAAAGAGGGGGGGGGGGGGGGGGGAGTCAGAACTCCCTTAAATCTTTATGCTCAAGGAGCTTATGACAGAAACATGCTGGTACCACACAATGTCCATTCAGATATAAAAAGCCATAGTGCTAACAGATAAAAATTACAGCTTCATTGAACACAGTAAATGCATCACCCACATGACCCGAGGATCTAGCCCCAGGGACCAAAAATAAACAACAGCAAATAGGTTTATTGAAGATGAAACCAGAAGTAATTAAGTAATTGTAAGGCTCTGAACTATGGACTAAAATTCACAACCACACTAGATTGACTGTAGAAACAGAACTGGTATTAAAAAGATTAGGTTTTTTTTCCATTGCTGGTAAGCAGTATTATAAAAAAAATAATTTGAGGCAAAAAATTAGGGACCGTTTTGATTATATCACTGAATTGTGCTAAAGCAAAAAAAAAAAGCTTCTTATTTTGACCACAAATCAAACCGTACTATTTCTGCCAGGAATTGTGCTACTTCTGATCACTTGGATCTCTGCTGAATATGTTGGAAAACATAGTGTTTCAATCTGACAGCTGTGGAATTGGATTATGAAAATGAGACAAAATCAGGAACAAACAGTCCTCCTTATGCCCAATATGTTTGTGGAAACAATGATTTACCACTACAATCCAGACATTTACATTCAAAAGCCACCAGGAAAAAGATTAGATTCTTAAGCCTCAGAGTTTCTACAATTCTAGCTCTTTTCTTAAACTGTCTGCATTATCCAAGTATTTCTAAGAGACATGAAAACTAGTTCTGGGGAAAGAATTTGGAATAAGCTAATCAGTGCATGCACTTGCCTTAATAATGGAGATTTATTCAATTTTAAAACTACAGGCGCAAATTTCAGCTACTTTGCTGTTATCTTTAAGAAAAATGAAATCTGATAAAAAGGCTATTAACAATTTTAAGGACATGCTTTTTTGGTTTATGATTTCTCGTTTATTTACTGATAAAATAGCTTGAGAAAAATTATGCATATACACAGACCACAACAAAAACAGCAGATCTGAAGGAAAATGAAATGAGAGAAGCCATTTCAACTTATCAATTTAAGGATATATATGAGTTTGCGCTGTATTTTCTCGTTTGTTAGCTTTCCTTAAACTGTTGCCCAATTTAAGACATTAAAATTGGTACTAAGATATTAGAATTTGAAACTAACACACTGAGTTATTTTTATTTTCACAGGGTAACTCACCATGGTGGCATCCTCAATAATGGAGTAATTTGCTTGATGAAGGTAATGGTGCAATATATTACACAGCAAACAAGATGGATTTTCTTGCAAGAAACGAGCCACTTTGGTAAGCCTGTTGTACTTGCTTCTCAGAGGAAAGTGCACACTTTTATTCTAGATTAAAATGTAACAGTTTTCATATATGAACATACTTGCAAACAGAACACACGCACGAACTACAAGCTTTCACCTACAGTATCACAAACTTCGAACCTCATTTTGAACTTCTGCGACAAGATTTGACACATGGATACCTACCTGATTTTAAATAGTGTATGTGAGAAATCATACTTGATGCTTACTTATCTATATGAAGTAATAAAACAGAAGGCAGGATTCATATCGCAGACTTCGTAAAGTTACTTCTGGACTAACAGACATATATGCACAGCTAGCTGAGATCTTCAAAGAAATTAGTTACAGAAAAACCAAGCACTTTTCTAATTCGGCGTAATGCTAGAATAAGAGTAGGAAAAGAAATAGGAGGGGAGGTAGCAATAAGAGACTGCTGCAGAGGTTGACTTTTGAGTACAACAGAGAACTAGAACAATGCAAGCCGGGATCTCAACAGCGGGTATCACCTCAAGGTCTTTCCACTAGATGGTGGTAAGTAAATGAACTGCAGAAAACTGATGACACACAAGAAAGCTCCGGAGCAAATCCCAGTAACACCCAGTTTGTCACAAAAGCTCTACCAATCCTAGTTTTCAACAAAAAATGTGTCCATTTTACGTTTCTTGCTAGAATGTTTCACCATTCCCTTCCTCTAACAAGCGGGTCCAATAAACACAACAATTCAATACACTGAAGGAACACAAAAATTCACATTTTCTCCCAAAAGATACTCTGAATATTTTATAATTCAACACACTTTCATATTTGATAAAATTTACCAAATGCTACAGCCATATTTCTCACTCTTCCCTTTCAAAATGCAGAATCTCCAGTTAATTTACCTGGAGATGAACTCTTATAAGAAGTGCAAGAACTCCTCACTAGCAACAGCTGAATTTTTTTTCCACTGAAATTCAGATTGTGTACAAAAAGCAGAGCTAGTGAGTTCTTGTGATCAGTTCTGGAAGTAAAGGTTCATAAAAGGTGCTCTAAATTTGTCAGTGAAAATATCCAGAATCCCGAACAAAGACATATTACACTGCCCTGTTCTGCCTATTGAGTTTAGAAAGGTCATTTACCTCTAAAGCTTCTGTCATAATGCAACCCATCACAGCACAGATTCGCAGGGTTCCTTCGGTTTCTAGTTTATTTAATGATGATTTCACTTGATCAATGGGGACAAGCCAAGCACCAACTGCAGGTGTTGCAGTACTCAGGAGGTTCAGCTGCCTGTTGAGAAAAATAAAAAGAATTGGGTATTCAAATTCAGCAGCAGCAATTAGCAAGATTTTCTGAGGCTGTTATGAGTGACATTCAAATAGGTGGAATACCACAGAACAATGTTACAAACAGACTTATTGCCCAGAAAATGAAAACTGGCAAAAAGTACCTAAGGCAGGTGTTGTTTTACTCGCTCACACTCATGATTCCATCTCCTCTTGCTACTGCTATTCCCTCCTTTTCCCATTGCATTCCCTACTGAAATCATACAGTTCTCATCGCTGACTGAATCCTGCATTAACTGTTCCACAATACGTCATAAAGGACTTTTGCCGAAGGGCTGAGGCAAGAATGTTAGGAAAACCACAGAGCATTTTCTAATTTATAGCTCTACATTGAGCTTAAGCTGACAGGCAGGAATATTTGGCTTGTTCTACAAATGCAAGATGAAAAACTATCTTAGGTTTATCTTAAGCTTTATAGTGCAGTGGCAGTAAGATCCTGGGTTAAGCAGTAGGTTGAATACCAAAAGCACAGAGTGGATCTCTTCTCTAGCATCTCTCCAACTCAAAACGTAAAATACCCTCCCCTACCTTTCTCCTTCATACATTTCAGTCTCACTGGAAGTTTTTTGTTTGTTTGTTTTTCCTTTAAATCTTTCTCTTCTTCTTTTAATCATACCTAACTAAAAATTTTCTAGCAACACTTACACATTAATGAGAACAATAAAAAAACGGAAGCAAGGGTTACTGTGATATATGTAAAATTCAAAATCTTAATTTCCAGAGAAGCTTCAAAAATTACTGAAATTGCATTCAGAATGTACCAAATACAAATGCAATTTAACAAAGCAGAATTATCATCATCTTTCTTTAAATCAGGTAAAACTATACCTTGAAAATATATGGGCTGGAGAGCGCACATTGGTAGGGGCTGCAAAACTAAACCAAATTTCTTTGATTGTTAACTTCATGCTGCAAGAGTCAGGGGGAGGAGGCATCAAGGGTATATCTTTTTTTAGATCATCCGATTCAACCCCTTCATCCTTAAAAAAGAAAACACAAAGTCAAAAGTCAAATTGTTCTCCAAAGTGATTACACTGGAAGGCACTAACATACCATACCGCGCGCCGCTCAGAAGAAATAGTTTCATATGCATTTAGGCAAAATAAAATAAAGTAATGCTGTCCACCAACTTTCCCAAGACAATACCAAGAGACCTCGCAGAAAGCTGAAAGTTTAGTGTGCAAGCAGACAGTACGAATGCAGTTGGCACAAGACATCTCTTAAATTGTCAGCACTTAAAAAAAAAAAACAAACCACCAAACAACAGAACAACCCAAGACCAATCATTTCTACATAGTATATACATACCTGCTCATCTGAAACCGAATTTCCATTAATATCTGAAGAGGGACTTATTCTATCACAAGGAAGGTTATCATCAGACACATCAGTATTATAACCACTACCAGTTGGAGAATCTGAAGAGTTATTTGATGCAAGCAATCCACCTCTCTCTGTATCTCTTGATTTACCCATGACTCCAAACGTATTATACAATACTGCTCCAGATTGTCTTCCTCCTATAAAAGCACATATACCAAGACTGTAAATGTTTGCCATCCATCACATCTATAAGTGATGTCCCATAGAAAAGATCTGTACTTAAGAGGTCAAATTAATGTGATTTTGGTTAAACAAGATGCATGACCATTTTACACAAGTTATCACTACGATATTTATACAACAATGTAACAGTTAGTCGTAGAGCTTCTGACAGTTTGTTCCAAGTAGAAGAGTACTCACGTGAAGACTACTTTTAAACACTATTCCCTGAAAAGAATAATTTGGATGACAGAAAATACCTATATACTGGTAGTCTCGGTTTTGTCCCCTCCCAAAGCAAAACTCTGGCCCTATATGCAGACACTTACTGTGGGTATGACTGCAAGGTCAGGATTTAAGCGATCAGCAGAAGTATCAATTGCGACATTTCCTTTACATTCAGAAACTGCTGAAATCAGTTCATATGGAATTATTTCACACACTATTATAAGTAGTATTGATTACTGGAAGTTCCTTTATCGTGTAATCTACTACGCGATACAGTTTATTTACAACAGACATGTACTGTTTAGTTTCACCAATATTCAGCGACTTCTAACCAAATAATTGCTGAACTGGAAGACCAGAATTGTTAGCAGTTTCCTAAAACAAAATAATATAAAGCCTATGTAAGTTTTACCTTTTATAGTTAAATTTTCAATTCCACACTCAAACATTATCCAACCCCACTTCTCTTGACTAGGACCAATTCGAGCTACATCCGGAACAGCTTGTTGATCTGTTTCATCCACAAAAGCAAACTCATCCAACTCTTCCAAAGTAAAAAGAACTTTTGATTTCCCAAAAGGAATAGCTGTTATTGCACAAGTTCCAATATCTGTGAAAACAAACATATTTACCATTTTGTTACAAAATGAAAAAAAACTTTACATCTTCAAATAGCTCTCTGAAGTTCACAGTGTTCTGGGAGTGTTGTCCTTTTAGTATTCCTGAGACTCGGGGTGGGGGAGAAAGAAAAAAATAAAGTTTACGCATGAGCAAGAAAAAAAGCAGCATAGAAAGAGGAAGAAAAGCCTTGCTCCTGGTATGTTAATGTGGGTGGGGTAATTTTTAAGTTTGGAAAAAACAAGGACCAAGCAACAAAAAGTTAAAGCTTCAAGACATTCCCAATCCTAACAGATCTGCCTTCTTTGACTTTTGGTTCCAAAGACAAGTGTACAAATAAGCTCTTCAGATATTTATCTGAAACTGGCAATTGGCCTGAAACTACTTTACAAAAAACTCCATTCCTAATAAATACGTAAGGTTTGATAGCGACACTTGACAGTGACATTGACAGTGCTCTTGGATTTACTCTTGTTTTAGCAGAAACTCACCTGGTATGAAATACAGCATACTTGAAGGATAACTAAAAATAAAGTTGTAATTGTAATGCAAAGACTGCTTCTTGGTTGGAAGCATGTCTGTGTCTGTGTTGGGAGGATGCAAAGCACTAAGTCTCACTGATTCCTAAGAAAATACAGACTCAAGTAGTTTTCAATTCGTTAGGATCTTTGCTGTCTAAGATCCAGGAGGGTACTATGCCGCCTTGATTTCTGTGATGTTAGGATGTAGCTTAAATATAAATCCTTTCTTCTAGTGACATTTCTGAAAGAACATTTTAAATAATTTTATACTATATAAATATATATTTATAAATAATTTTAAATATTGCCTGTTAACTCACACAGCTAAACGTCAAACATCTGAGGAAAAGAACTACACTGAGTCAACTCATATCCCTTCCAGTCCTTGCTCTCTGCCCCCAACTTATAACTGCAATCACTTTTGAAGTATACACGAAATGCTAAGATCCCTAGAAAGACATTTCTCAAGCCTTTTAAATAGAACATGATGAGTTTTCTAGCTAGAATTCAAAAATTACTTGACCTTCTTGAATGTCTGCAGCATACCTTACACAGGACACTACTGCTATGATTCTATCCATAACTAAGTAAAAATGGAGCTAAGCATTTTAGTGTTCTCTTGCTGCTTTGTTTTCCTCCAATATCATTTGCTCACTCATCTTTGCACAACAGTGGGGTTTTTTGGTTTTGTTTTTTTTTTTATTGTGTGGGTTTTATTCATACTTGATTCACAGAGCGCTTCCTCATGTCCTAGAGATTCCTATTCTTTATGGGACAGAGTAAAACACAGCACTAACTGGCACAGACCCCATAAAAATTGAATTAGTTTTAACAACTACTGCCTCTATTTTTCATCTTCTTTCCAGGTCAGCTTTTCCAGGATCAGGAGTTATAGCAGCTGAATTTAATTCATAGCCTTTTGAAGGAATTTCCTTAACACAAACAAGAAGGAAGACGATTGGGTAGATCTCATTTTCAGTTTTACAGTTGCTATAGCTAAAAATCCACAGCTTGTCATGCTCAAATTGTCAGTACAACAGGCACATTATACCGATCTTGAAACTGTTAGAAAGCAGTAAGAAAGCAAATAAGCATAATTCATTGCCTGCATCAGATGACAAAAAATGGTAGCTGAAAAGAGCCCAGATCTGAAATTTTACCAGTGCATGTCAATATTTACAACGCAACCCGTCTGCCACACATACTGCCTAGAAGTTCGTCTTGATAGTTTTCACTCTGCCTACATTTAAATCTAGCACTTCAGTAAAGTAGCAAAAAATAAGTCAGAGTAACTATCCTAAACTTCTTTTTAGAGCATCTGACAGATCTCCAGGTTCAAGGTTTTATCTGTGCTGATTAAAAAAACCCACATAACCAAACTGCAAGATCGAGGCCAACTATAACTGCTTGCTTCTATGAAAACTGACATTCCCACAATTTAAAAAAAGGCTTACCTGTTGTATCAAGGCCTCTAAGCTGTCCATGAACACGATGGATATTCAATTTAGCAGCAATTTCTTTTCCTTTTTCTGCTCCAGCATTGGATCTCAGTGAACCAGACGACTGGGGCTGCATTTTACTGGTTTGGATGTAACGCTCAAAAGTGACAGAATTCCTCCCAGTTTCTGCATTGTTTGAAGGCTCCTCAACTATACCCCTTTGAATATAAGGGAGAAAAAACAATTAGGCAAATCTCAGACAGACATGTTTAATTTTATTATTTTTGTTTAAAGTTTTAAGTGACATTGGCACAACAGTGTTAAAGAGATTCTTTTTAAATAGAAGACATATAGGTTTTGGTAGAAAAAATAATGAAAAATTTAATTTTACCCTGCATGAGATACAAGCAAGGAAGAGGTAAAGCTAAAATTCCAAAATTACTTCAGAGGGGTTCCTCCACTTCTTAAAGAAACCTCAATTCTAACTAGATATTGGATGTTAACTTACAAAACACATAAGATACATTTTATTGCTTAACTCACTCATGACAACTTGCTCAAATACTCTTCAGAACCACAAACAATTGGCATCACTGTAAGTCTTCCGACTAACTTAACAAGAAAGAGCCACGAGTAGCGATATGTATATTCTTACCTATTCATACGAACTTGCGTAGCAATTCTATCAAAACACAAAGCTACTAATGAGACATGAGTCACAGTTTTGCCAGAAGAAGCCCCTGGGGACTCATCAACAGATGCTTGTAGTAAACACAGGTTCACCTATATGTAGAATTCCCCCAAAGAGTAAAGAAATTTAGAAAAACATTTTACATTAAGTATACATCACTTATTTCTGATACAATCTTGTCTTATACTTCTCAGTAAAATGAAAAAATAAAAGCTAAACCCATCACATCTAAAACATGTAAAAACATAATTTAAAGACTTGGTAGTTATCCCTATAGTGGTGGTTATTTAACTTGCACACCCACCGTAATAAAACTGAGCGGCTCCAAAACAGTCTAGCCTGTTCAAAACACTAGCTGTCTACCACAAATGCATAGCTTCACTTTAGATTTTGGGGAACTAATATGGATTTAAAATAAGGGTAATTTGTGAGGCACATGTCTACTAATAAGCTAAACAAAAAGCTGTTACCTTTGGTACAGTAACGTTGGCCTGAAGACCTTTAATTGTCACATTATCTTGCTTAAGTGAGAGATTGGTCTGTGCTGGTCCCTGGGTGGTTGTTCCTGTAGTGGTAGCATCTATTTTTGTTCCTCTAATATCCTGCTTTGAAGATAACTTGGAGGGGGAGGAAAAAACACTTATTCTCACTGAAACTCAGAGCTGCTAAGCTAAAGAGTAACAGGATAGTTTATTAGCACTGAAGCAGCAAGAGATTCTGACTTCATTTAAAGCATACCACCATGATTTCTAGAACAAGGACTGTAGCACTTACAGATATGGTAGGTCTAAATCCGTAAGGGTAGCAATGCCATTCTGTAATAAACTTTCTAATGACCAGATTTCAGCTGAAAGTTTGAATTCTACATATATAAGTTACATAGTACCACTTATTCTGAAGTAAATAATTAGTGTGTGTTACACTGTGAAGTCTAAGAAATGATAAAATATATATATATGTCATTAACCTGGACAGAAAGAACTCCTAATTCTGTAGAACTAGCATACAACTTTTCAAGCTAAATTAATTTTTTAAGGTATCAGATGAACAGCAAAAATCTCCCTAACTACTGTAAAATAATAAATGATGTATTGCTGATATGAATATAATACCTATCAGTTATAGCAATTCCTAAGAACAGAATGTATGATCTCATGCAAATTACTGTAGCTTCTGACTAGACCATCTAAATTAGAAAAAATTCACTTCAATCCTGTAAGAGAGATTTCTGGTCACTGAAAGACAGTATGTAACATTTGATTACAAAAATGCACATACATCAGGCACAAGATAAAAATAAATATGTATTACAAATCAATATAGTATTTAGCTACTCTATCTCAAAGCACTGAACTAAATTAAAACTTTTTCTGCATGCAATACAGAAAACAGTATTCTTTCAAATCTTTGTGCGTTTTTTTGTTCCCTTTCTTACATTTTCTGAGAAGCTTGTTTTGCTGTTCTGTACAGCATCTCGAAGAACTTTGCAGTGCAGATCATCAACGATTGCTGCAGGGTGTCGAGAGCTAGCACAATGCACCATTGCTTCTATGTACCTGTGAGAGGAAACAAGCCCACAACAGACCATTTCAACTCCCAGTTTCACATGACACACCATCAATAATGTCTAATTAAATGCTACAGAGAAAAAATTAAGCATCGACAGGCATAAAGGGCACTTCCCAGGTCAGCATAACATGATGGTAGCTTCTTCACAGGAAACGTGGAAATACATTCACTGTGTACAAGGCCCTACTGTTCCATCAGTCACATGATTGAACCCTTTTACCTAAACCTTTGCTGAACAAAATGGCTTTTAGACAATTTTTAACATAACCAATTAATACTGTAAAAGTAAAATTAATTACCTATCCAGTGCCTCTGCTACAAGAGGAGTCAGAACTACATCTACAGTTCCTTTTACTTCTACTATTGCTGTTGTCCGTGTCTGGAAGACAGGGTGATCCAACGTCCATTCTTCTGTTATTGTTTCATCATCTGTATTTTCTGCAGACTTCTTTTCCAAAGGAGTATAAGGTGTACTACACAAATCAAACACATATTAATGATCTAAGTTTGCAAAAGAAATATAAAACTGTCCTGGTATCATTTTAATTCTTAATAAAAATGCCTATAACGGCAGGTTTCTGCTACCAGATAGCTTAGCAAGCACACAAATATAACCCCAGGGCACAACCCCTCCCTAGATTCAAGTTCAGCTTTTGGCAATGCAATGGACACTTGTCAAAAGCACTTCACAAACTAATTTTAATTAAGTTGCAATTTGTCCTCTTGAAAATGTACGAGTGCAACCATTTAATGCTTTCACAGGGTACCTTTTAACCAAAACCAAACATTTTGTAATAGAATACTCTGTTCTAAAGTAGATCCGTACTGAAAACTACTGCTACAAATCAAATTTTGGAAGGGCTAGCAAGAGCCAAAATATTTAACAAGAGTATCAGGAAAATTCTGCTCTTAAAAAATATGCTAATAATGTTATGCAGTATTCAACTTACTTAGACGTTGATCCCGTAAGCTGCATGCCTCTGTCCAGTAACGAATTAGCTGTGAGGCCCTGTTTAACAATCTAAGATAAAAGCGCAAAAAAATTTATTACATTCCCTCTATATATGAAAAAAAAACCCAAGGAATCTTCAAATAAAGTTTCTCCTTACAGTTTTGTTCTTAAAACAACCCCTCACATGCAGATTCTCCAATACAGTATACAGAAACTCCTAGGTTAATTTTTCTTAAGTGACCCGAGAGATTAGATTATGAAGTTTTTACATAGATAAATAGTGAATAATTGCTTTAAAAAACAAAAAAAACCCTCACACAAACTTCAAATACTGATCTACAAAAGGCTTGCACGAACACTAAGCTTTTGCTGTAAAGTGATAACAAATTCCAGAGCTTAGTCACCTACTTCTATCAAGTCATTTCCATTGTTTTTCACGTATTTCATTTCAGCTCCTTTCTTGAACATGTATGGTCATACCACATGTGTCACAAGGACAAAAAAAAAAAAAGTCCAAACATTTACAAAAAATCATTTGCTAAATCTGAGTCTCAATTTTAGTTTGAAATAAAGCACTTACAGCCTGGATTATACTTTATCAGTATTATATGTACTGCTGCTGAAGTTCTGTGTAACATATTTTAAACAAAACCCACACAAATAGCCTTCAGCTATATATCATTCCAACAAGCAGCATTTTTAAGCGCAATAATGACAATTCAGAACGTGCATCTTATCCACAGAATTCTACCTCTCTTTTCCTTTCCACAACCTCCCAGCCACACAGCCCATGATCTGAAGTCACAAATCCAAAGTATTCCTTAACTAAAAGCAAAGAAGTTTCAAGTTTCTCATAGCTTTATTTACATAAAAGGTACACTTGTTTTGAATTCTTATTCCTTTTTCTACTCCTTCTTCCTCCATCTTCCGTACCTTAAAAGTTGGGACAGAGAGTTGCTCAAAAGATGAAGAACTTTCTTCACTCGTTGGCGTGTCAAGGTCTAAAGGACGATGTAATGAGGATTTTGAAGTTCTTTTGTTAGTTGGATGCTTGACTGACCAGTTGATCACCTGGAACTGTGTAAGATAATTTTGGTAACATGCCATTACAGGCTGCTGGGAAGTTATTTGCTCACTTTCCACAGTCTTCTCAGATTCCATGACATACATGTTGTCAACATGCTCATCTTCTCCTCCCAGAGCCGAAACAAATGAAGCCTGTGAAGGATGAGTCTTAATTGGCAACGTTTTAACATCTTGACTAATTTCTCCATGGATTGTGCTTGTTAAGGGCCCTTCCACACTGTGATAAATAGACCCCCTACTATATTCAATTTTCTGAGTTTGCTTTTTTCTCCTCTTCCTCCCTGGATAAGTTCCTGGACCTTCATCGCTACTTATTGGCTCGAACTCTTCTGCTGCAGAAAAATAAGCTTCGCTATCAGCCATTGACATACTGGAATCCATCGAGCGATACTGATGAAATGAGTTTGAATCTGCAGATGGAGTATACGGAAAAGAACCAAAGCTCCTCCTCTGCTTTGGGGAGTCCAAGACATTCTCATCACTGCGAGACACATCACTGCTGAACTGCACCCCAACTGGAACAGGCTGCTTGTCTCCGTAGAAGGCTGCCGTGAGGCTCTTGGTGCTCCCGAGCCGGGTGGAGCACACGGACGCTTGGCGTTTCAGCGGAGACCTCAGGGGAGACTGACCAACAGGCCTTTCCTGGTTGCCAGGGGACGCAGGGCTGCCCTCTGCACCCTCAGCTGCAACACTGGAAACAAAAATTAAAGGTTTATTTGCTTATTTTATCATTAATGTTTCTCTTTTTACATTACAGAAGCTGTCAAATGCTTCAGTGAGTCCATGACTTACTACTAGCATAACAACTACTTTCATATCGCTGATTACATAGCAAATTCTGCCACTTGTTAGTTCACTTGTCTACATACAGAGGATGTAAAAACAAACATTAACAGCCAGTGCTATTGTCTTACATGCTGGATTTTTTACCCAGATCAGATAATCATCCCAAATTAGGGATCCAAATTTGCATTCAAACTAGGAAAAGCATTCAGCAGTACCGTTAGAAATTCACCAACACTTTATAAATTGCTAAATTCAAGGGTTTTTTCTCTCATAACGTTTTCAAAAGCTGAACTGCACTTCCACGTGGATACCGAGTACTGACCTTCCATGACCATCTTCCCTTTTTGCACCAGACAAGAACTCCTTCTGCCCCAGGTGATCCTCAGCAGCTGACGACGGGCTGTCCTTCTCACCTGCCAGCAAGGGGAGCGCAGCGCTAGAACTGCTCGTTTCCTCCGAAGACGAGGAGGAGCTGTGGGAGCGCAGTGGTACTTGCAAGCTTAGATGTTGTGCTTTTCTTTCGATTTCTATACCCACGGATCTGCAATCCCAATCTTTTCGTTTTACACCATTTGCTTTACCTAGGATCAGAAACAGAAAAGAAAAACTGAACATCTGATAACACAACTGCAATTGTCTCTTCCCTGCTCACTGAAACAGAAACCCTTATCAACGAAAAGCCCTAGTTTCGAAATGCATACACATACCAGCATGTTGTACTAACAAAAATTAATAAAATCATAGCAGCAAAACATCAGATTGTCTTGGTAGACTGCTTTCTATATAAGCAGAACAGATGCAAGTCAAAAAAATTCTTTTTATTTAGAAAGGAACTGCATGTTAATATAAAAATTCAGGATATGAAAGCTTGCTCGCTACTTTCAAGCTACTGTCTGCTCTTAGAAGGGCCCATGCCACTACAAGACCTCTTGCACAGAAGTGCAGCAAGTACTACCCAATAACCAGAATCAGAAAGACTATAAATACTATGTGCAGTTAAGAAATTATAGTTTGGGACAAAATAGAGTAAAATTACAACAGAATGCATTCTCACCATCTAAAATTTTAGGAATCTCCTTAGTAATTATCCATTCTCCTGGCTGCAGTAAAGACTGTCCATAAAACATATCAGATTCTGCACTCGTACTTGAGAAGGCAGAGCTGCTTGAAGGCGTCAGCTCCTCAAGTTTAAAAAAATCTAGTCCTGTTAATGTGCCACCGAAGAATCGACAACCACCAAGACAGCCACACTTGTTCTTGCTTCTCTTATTCCTCAAATTATCATCAGGCCACAAAAACCACAATCTATACAAAGGCAGAAAAAACAGAAAACAACACAAAAACATGACCTCATTAGTACATTTAAATTCAGTGAAAACAAGATTAAAAGATATCTCTCTCTCGTACGTGAGCTCCGATTTCACCCAGCATGAAACGAGTAAGATTCGTACCTGAAACACGCGTCAGACATAAAATGAAGGATTAGCTCCAGAAAAAGCAAATCCCAAATTTTTATGACGTGCTCATGCAACCACGCTTGGGCACATACTATGTCCGCCTGCCACAACACAGGCCAAGAGTAACAACCCTTTCTCTCCGCACGGAAGCGAGCGCTGCGAACACACTCCACACTGGCGTATGCTGCTTACGCCAGAGGCAACTGCTTTTTGAGGAGAGACACAAGGCACAGTTACACCAGGCAACTTGTTCACAGCTGCTCCTCAGCTTGCTCAGGACTCTAAGGTCTGTTTTCAGTCCAGCCTAAGAACATCAGAAAAATTCAATTCCCTCTTCTACCTGATCTTCATTTTGGGGGATAAGGGAAAGCAGGCAAAAAATCATATGATTTTGTATAGCTCAAGCAAATTCAAACCACCAACCCCATAGCTAAGTATTCAAGGTACTTTAAAAAACATCACAAGAAATTGTAATCTGTGCAAACAAAGAAAACCCTCCAAGGCAAAAAAAAGAAGTTCCATCTTTAGATGAATGTATTAACTTATAAACGCCCAAAAATTCAAATGCATCTCCTTCTGCCGTATCTCTTACCTCTTAGTTCGGTTATCATGCGTTTCTAAGAAATGCCTCTGCACTTCATGTTTAGAAGGATGATCTGCAGCTAAAGCGATGTCAGCAGTGATGAGCCCCAAGTTGACAGAGCCAGCTTCCAGCCAATACGCCCTCCTTAATATTGGCTGCAGACCAGTTCTGCAATTGTTCACCTGCTCAACATATTGCCTCAGCTGAAAGTCTTGAATAGCAGCACTGACACCTTCTCCAACAGACTGGTTGTGGAGGTTGCAGTTTGCAATACGCACAGCACCCATCTGAAAACATGGTTTAAAACATGAACTCTGATTAGTCACGAGTGGAACAAAGAAAGGGCAGCCTTAAACCAGTTAACACGCTGCCTACTGCCTTCCAGAAAGGTCTCAGTAAACTATTCTCTCCAAAAAAGACAGAGAACCAGTTTTACATGCAAGTAGACGCACACACACAAAAGGCAGCCAGCTTAGAAATTAGTTTTCAGCTGGGTTTTAAATAACAAAAAGTAAAATCTCTACTTAGGAATCTCCTTTTGTAAAGGGATCAAAAAAGAAAGCTCAACTTTGGACAGAATTTGTAATAAACCTTTTAAAAAAAATAACTTGTTATTAAATTTTTCACTGTCATCTAAAAACCAAGAAATCTGAAATATCAAAATCAGGTATATGATTTGATATATCAGTCCACATCCTTAGACTAAACCAGCGATTTTATACTGTGAATACAAAGCTGTACCAACTCTACAATTAACAACTACCTCAGTGAGACAACCATGTTAAACACTGCAAAACTCAAGAAATTCCAGATCCTAAACCTTAACCGAGATCCGTACGAATTGCGTTAGAGTAGCCGTTATATGATCACACACTATTTCTTGTTTTGGCACAACTCCACGTAGTTTTGTTGAACCAAACAGGAGGCTGCCCCTCTCCTATGAAAAGCACGGTACCAGCAGGAGCCAACCCTCTCCAAAGACAAACCAGAAGCTCTTGCTTCACCCCCTCACTTGGCTGAGGAAACCGGCCACTGTACAACTAACGCACCTGCCCATACAGTATCGATCCTCCCCAACACTGGTGCACACTAATAAAAGATGACACAGCCCTGCCGCAACATGCTTAGTCTTCAAACTTCAAATAATCTGAAGACATTGGACCAAGTTTCCTGCATGGCTTTGAGTCCTCTCCAAAAAGTCACCATAAAGTACCTGAAATTTCAGATCAACTTTTCAAACTTTTCACAGTGAAAAGAAGGAAAGCTGAAAAAGAACCCAGCCATGGAAGAGCTACCCACAAAGTTAATATTAAATTATTACTTCTCATCTCTGTCACAGACTATAAAGGAGCACTGGAAACCTTTGGGTTTTTTTAAATTCAAACGAAACACATTCGGAACATAATTTTCTAGAGTGTTTCAGGTTATTAAGCCGCCTTTGCCTTTGAAAATACTGCCATTCATATCCATGCCTGCAAACACAGTTAATATTTGTGATGGTGCTTTTTAGTATCGGACTCCAAAGAATTTGGAGACTCAAAACACTTTGTTGTTTTTTTCATTGTCACAAGGTAGCAAGCCATTCACATGGCAAGATACCATGTCATTTAAAAAAATGTCCAAAATAATTACCGCTTTCCTTCAGTTATATGCTTGCTTATAACGTGAAGCTGTCCCCAAAATCTTACATGTTAAGTCTACCTTTTAAAACCGAATTTATTAATGGACTACACAACTACTGCTCAACTTACACCAGCATAGCACTTTTCTCCTTTTCTGTTGTTACCATAACTCTATCATCTCTTAACTTATATTTTGCTACGTTGAGTAAATTATTCCAGTTTTTTCTTGTATGATAGGATAATGGAGACAGCATCAGCTCTTCTCTGCACATCCCTTTTTGAGCAGAAGATACACCATGCAGTATTTTAGATTCAGTCAGGCAGTGGGACTAACACTTCCCCCATCTACACCAAAGATATATCTTAACTCACACAGCTGTATCACATAAGACAACGATGAGTTAAGGTACACAGTCCATATCAATGATTTCCAGTCGCTGAGTTACAGCACAAGTTCTTATCAGCTCTCAGGTGCAGACACTGAGATTTATATTGCCTAGTGTTTTTGTGAATTTTTTATATCAATCCTGCAGCTTCCACTTTTATTTTGGCAGAGGTCCACTCCCCCTTACCATTTTCCAAGATCATTAACAGAATTACTAAGCAGAAGCCAAATTGTCCTACTCCTGGCCCAGTCCAAGCCAACCTTTTATCACTTAAAAGTTTCAGAAATTCTGCTTAGTCCATTGCATGTAACCAAGCAATAAATTCAGCAGCTATTCTATCAAAATATACTAATAGCTCTATTGACAAATAAGTATTTTAATTATTGTTAAGAGAAATATTTTTACCTTTATATTGGTGGCACAGCCATGTTCTACAACATACAGATCTGCTCCATCCATGGCTAGGCGTGTCATAGTGTACTTTAAGTCATCAGATGTTGGGCATGGCCCAGGGACACAGTTCATCTGAGTAAAAAGAAAACAAACAAACAAACAAAAAAGATTTAAACATACATTAGGAGTTTTACTTTAATTTGTGCCTCTCCTTTTATTTATGTGCTGTTTAACAGAGGCCTAAAACTAGAGCAACAAAAAGTTACTTATTCTAAATTGTCAACATGAGTATGAGATGGGGTGTTTCTGTGCTGAGGTTCATTTTCACTAGTGCATGTTTAATTCTTCTGTCCAGCAACATCTGGGGACCCAGCTGGCTCTCCTGGCTTCCACCAGCAAAAGGCAAATCAAGTCTCCTAATAGAGAACATGACAAAAACTGGAACAAAACAAGGAGGATGTCGAGAGATGAAATCCAGGATTCATACTTAGTGTATGGCAAGCCTCCTTTAGTCTTCAAGTGACTGTGCACATGGGTTCCAAGAGTCAAGCACTAAGAGCAGAATCCACAATGACATGATGGCTAAGTAAGAGTCTCATGATTTGGGAAAAAAAAAAAATTAAAAAATTTTAAAAAGGTGCATGGAAGCTATAAGCTGACAGCTTAAGTGTCCCACCAAAGCACTGTTTCATCAACAGAGCATATGGGATGAAAAAGTACCATGGAGATGTGGCAGGAACACAAGGGGAAGTATGACCTTTGTCTCTTGAGGGACACTGGAGTATGCCCTTTGGCTCTTGACTATCACAGCAGAGGTAAGAAACTAGGGATGACTTCCGTGGATACTGTTTCTTAAAATAATTCATAAAGCAAAATCATTGTGCATATCCACAGGAAAATCCAGAGAATCACTTTCCTTTCTAAACCATAATTAGCTACACTTTTTCAAATGGAATACACAATCTGACTGTATATTCCACACGTCTTGATTACTTTAAGGCAGGATTTCTAAACTGTTCCAAAGAACCCATGCAAATATAGGGAGCAATTAAGACAGAGGAAAGGTTACCTTAGAGTCACAAAACCGACGATCAATTCCATGCTGGCATATTATTACAGATTTTGGCCTTTCCAGTTCAAACTCCCGGCACACCACATGAAATACAAAGGTCTGCCCCCATTCCAGAAGACAGGCAAGCTGTAAGCAAATAACAACACATTGTCACTAAGTAGGCAAAATGAACTTTCAGTATTCGACAGAGTCCTGAAAGAACATCACCAAAGGTTAGGAGGTGGGCAGGAGTAAAAAAGAAAAAGGAAAACAAACAAAGAAACAAAAAAGACCCCACCATAACATTCTGGCTGCATTACCTTGCTTGCAGACAGTCTATTTCCTGTTACTCAAGATCAATTTTTATTTTTGTGTGCACCACAACATGTAAGTCTCTATAGTTTTTCATGGAAAACTCTATGACATCAAACAACTTCCTAAATTATTTCTTAATGTAAGGAAACAGTTTTTGCTATCACAGTCAACTGAGAACTTGATTGTAAAGACAGAGCTCCCCTCATTTTACCTCGAAAAACCCCCCTGAAATACTCTATTACCATTCATAATTTAAATGTCAGACATCCTCGTATATAAGTAACAAAGTTACATTTAGAAAGGCTAGGAGGAAGCTGGCTAAACAGAACACTGCTGAATCTCGCTAAATGTAGTAATTAGCCTATCATTGATTTAAGTCTTTTATATAGTTATCTCATTCATAAAGGAAATGATTCACGACTGTCTGTCTGTATTATGTGAGGGAAATGCGTTTTCTTTGGCTAGCCAAAGGAAAGGGCACTTAAAATCAGCAGTAATTTCAATGCAATTTAACATAGCTATAACTGTCCTGCACAAAATCTGTCCTCCTCCCTTTAGTGTTGTCCCTTCACAAATTCTTGCAATACTTCACACTACGGGAGGAAAAAAGCCAAATTCAAGTTCTGCTCCACAGCAGTGCTGACAACAAAAAATAAAATAAAATAAAAATCCTGTATGAAGCATACAATTGAGACTGGCTTTATAGGGGGAGAAGATCCTTAAGCTGCATCAAGCTTTTAGAAGTGTTCTCTAACCTTAATTTGAATCAACTAGGCTTAATTTTGAAGCATAGAGCAGTGGAGCAAATACTATAGCTTATCTGTATCAGTGGTAGAATTTGGGGAAATACCACCACAAAAGTCTGTATATGTAGCATGAAAACATATCTGGAGTTTATGCTTTAGATTTACTGAAATTGCTTGTATGCCTTATTTCATTTGCTGCAGAAGTCTCCTACCGAATTACGTGTTTAACCCTAGAAAATAATGGCGATTTTTAGAGGAATAAGAGGATGTAGAAGTGTCTCAGAAAATATTTAAAAATAAATAAAGCAAACAGTAACTACTAAATAGAATTTATGTACTTTCCTCATGTCTCAGAATACGGCAACAAAGCAACCTTTTTTCAAAGGTCTGTCAGCCCAGACCAGAAATAAATCTAAGCGATCTACCTACTGTATACCTGAGGCCATTATTATATTGGAAAACTAAAAGTAACAGAAATGGCAAAACTAAAAGGAGTTACTGCTAAGTCTGACCTAAGAGATTCCAACACTGTGAAAGCAAACTACATTCCAGTGGGATCAAGCATCAGAATTTATGCAGCCAGCAGCATGACTGAGCTCCCAGCTACTCCCCTGCTGAGGCCCACCCATACTGTACTCCCACAAATTATCTCATTTGTCTCCTGCTTTAAAACATGGCTTTGTCCACAGCTTTCTATGGAAAGCCAGAACTTTATCGCCAAGATAAATTCTTGCCAGATGCTCAACTTGATATACTTATTGCTGGCACCATCCCTTCATGCAAATGCCTACGTATCTCCAAGAACCTTACATCTGAGGGACACCTAAGTACTTTTCAGACTGAAATCACAACTGAATTCATCTGCCCTTCCCAGAGAGTTAACCAGCAAGGGTAACAAACCTGCATCTCCATAAGTCAGCATCACAAAATAAAAGTAAACTCAGAGGAAGTCAAAGACAACTAAGTTATCTCATACTTAAGCCTTCTGAATAGATTTTCTTTTCTCCTCTCCATGACATTACCTAGTTAATGGCTGAAGGCATCTCAAAACCCCTGCTCTGTGTACAGAGAAGTCTTATTTACTCTGCAATTAAACCACTTGAAGGGCATGTGGATACCATGGTTGCCTTTCTAATCAGTATTAAACTACATTAACATACATAGATGTAACATACATGTGGTGACAACAGTATGCACTACTGATTAGATCGTGCTGTTAACATCATCCTTTCAAATTCTCATATAACACTAGCCACCCTGCTACACCTAGATTTAAGACCAATATCAGATTCAGCTCATTTAGTATCTCCTATCCATTTACAGAAGTTATTAGATTTTCAAAGTGTAAAAGTAAGGCTACATAAGGCACAGATGCATCCAAATTCAGCTGAGATCACGTGCTTTCCAAAAATCCATGCTATACCAGTTCTATAAGAAAGAAGAAAGATAATAGTTTCTGAATGGTACCTGGGGTGCCGTAACTTTGGCTGTAAGACTTCCAGCCTGTACATCGATCAGCCACGCGTATTCTAAGGTATCACTTCCAAGAGGCAGACCTTCTGCTGAAAACATGGCGTGAGCACGCAGCTGCAGGCCTGACAGGCTGATGTGACCCTCTCGAAGAACTTCATCCACTGCAGGTCGCTGTTAAGGACAAGTAAATTAAAGCTAATATTTGCACAGAACACGTCAATTTGTGCAAAAAAACCTGTATGGCCAGAGATACCTCCTTCTGCATTCATCTCCACCTCGTTAACCCTGTTGACTGCTGTACAGCTAGACAGTCCTGAGACTTCTCAGCATTACCCATGCAACAACACACATGCAAATCTTATGGGAGGAGAGGGAAGTTTATCTACCCCCAAGTTTGTTTTAAATTTTAGCAACCAATCATCATCAACCTTGCCTTGGTGAACTCCACACAGTGATATCCAGACACTATCTGTTGAATATTACCGCAATAAAATACAAACAAATAATGGAAGAGCATGTTTAACAACAGAAGTGATCAAGAGGTTAGAAAACATGACTTATGAAGGTTTGCCAATATCAGAAAGCTGACACATTATTAAAAAAAATAAAAATAAATTTTAAAAAAAACCAACAAACATAAAAGGCTGTCCTCTAAGTCGCACTTTTCACCCACGTAGTTATTGGCTACCTAAAGCAAAGCTACTTGTTTGCAGACACGAAAACTCAGATTTAATACTTTTCAAAAGAATATTACTCCACCAGCCAGAGAAGAAACTGGGAAGACAAAACCAGCACAGACATACACTAGAAGGTTATGACTGTGTGGAGGTGAGCTGTGGCTCAAAGCCAGCAGGTCAACAGCGAACCTTCTCCTTCATTCAGTTTTTTCAGCCCATTACCTCGCCTGGCTTGTTTTCCACTGTCAGCAAACCCTTTGGAGTTGCTTAATGAAGAAGAAACATGCCCTACTCTTTTGATACCACTAGCGACCTACGTCTCGATCCGGAAGCTATTTCAAAACAATATGAATAGGAAACATGAAACATGAAGCAACAACACTTGCCCAGCTAGGCAGAGCAACAATTCCTGTTCTATATACATGAGTACTACGAACATCTCACTTTAAGGTTGAACTGCAAAGTATCAAACAGCATTTTTGAGATATATAATGTGAATAAAGGGTCATTTAAAATAAAACAAAACCACAACAGAATGTTAATGTTTCCAACATTAATGGCAAGAACTAATGCAAAAGTCAAACACTAGATCATAACAACACACGTAACTGATCCAAACTTTCTTCACAATATTTTTAAAAACATGCCACCCTGCATGTTTATCATTTCAACCAACAGAAAATCCCAGGCATAAGACTTATTTGTCCGAGTTAATGTTTCTGAATCAAAATAAAACCAACGAAAAAGAAGATATAAAACCTAAGGCAAAATATGTAACCAATAGCATTACTAAACCTAACAGTAAGAATACTGAAAAAAAGTCACACAAAAATTTTCAAGGGTGTGAAATTAAATCATTAAAACCCCAAAATGTAAAAAAAAAACCCTTAAGGTTTTGCCTGCAACCTCATTTCTGCTTCCTTGTACATATGAATTGTAATACAACAATTAAGTTACAGGTTTGAAGAACATTTAAGGGTCTCATTCAGTGAACAAAACAGATTGTGTTCTTAAATAAGCAGCTGTTCAAATGCTTGGATGCCTCATAGGATAAACAAAAAAAAACTATCACAAAAAAGAATGTACAGAAACCTCCCAGCAGATTTCGGTAACATAACTGGAAATTCATTTTTCATTACATAAAGGTTTGTATGTTCAAGAGGATAATTGTCATTATCGTCAACTGCACCTTCTGACAACTTCATTCAACTGAAAAACAAGCCCTACAATCCAGAAACTTCGCTCCCCACAAAAGCTATGAGGAGAATGGAATTTTGTCTGCCACCATGCTGCCAGTACATCCAACTTCCATAGCGCTCTCAAAAGACAGCTCTATTAATCCCACATAGATTATGCACCCGCAAATCCTGCAGCTTCGCAGCATCATTTTCTTCAGGTTGCTGCTAAAGACAACTGCACTGTTGCAACGAAAACCCAAGAAGTTTAAATTCCACAGTCTCATTGGGGATTTCTTCTTTACTAATCAATCACACAACACTACACAAAAGAAAAAAACCCCACGCACAAACCAGAGATCATTCAATGGTTCCAAGACCAGTCTGAAGATTACTCTGTTTCCTAGACAACCTTCTCCAGAAAGATTTTAAGTGAAATTAAGAAAATACAATCTTTTCTTTTGTGCATTTCACTAAAATGCAAACCGGACAGAAGTAAAGATTTTTCTTTAAATCTGATGGGTTTGGGTTTTTTTTTTTTAATACCTCTTATGATTCATAAGCCCTAATAAACTTTGTATGTGTACAACAGGGAAGTTCCTGAGAAAAAAGAATTCAATTTTAAGATCATCACAACTTCCACAACACTAACACACACATGCAAACAGATAAAAACAGCTTACTACCTGATAGTTGTCATTCAGAAACAAATTCACTGGAGACAGTACAAGTTGAAGCATTGTTTCTCTAAAACCTTTCTTCATCTCAAAACACAACCTTTCCAAGAAAGCTGTAGGGCACTCAGGCCCATCTGGACTGCAATGCTAAAACAAAAATTAAACACATCTGTTTCAGAAACTGAAAATACACAACGTGGTTGAAACTGCAAGATTAGAAGCAAACTCATGAGCAGGAAGTATGTTAATTTTCCTCCAAATGGATACTTAAGAAGAAGCCTGTGCAACTTCAAAACCTTCCAACTATTACATAAACAGCAATTCAAACCCATTTGGGCGAACCCAATTTTTTATGTGGATTCTTATTTGAATTCCTGGAGACCCCTCAGATCGCAGCTGCTCTGAGCAGAATGCACCGTTAGAAGACAGTTCTGCTAATTAGCAGAAAAATCATAATGGTCAATCAAAACCACTATCACACAAATCAAGTTCATTGAATAAAGAGCATATAAAAAATTATCCAGTTCTGCCTCCCAGACAAGAAAAATAAATCATGTCTCAAATTGGTTTAGATATCCACAATTTTAGAGGAGAACATATACACACTTTGGTAAGCACCACCCTAACGAGATGTTAGAGGCAGTTAAATTTAACTCCAGATTATGAAACTAGCAAAAAAATAACTACATGAAGTATTTTCAGATTCTGAAGTACTTACCACTGGTAATCGCCCATGCACTTTGTACAAATTAACAAGCACAGTGATATCCCACGGGCGTAAAGTAAGGGGGTGAACTGGCTTCACTGAACTTTCATTTTCTTTTTTGTCGTTTTCCACTCCAACAGCTGTCCATCCAGAGCTTGAAGATGTTGACAGTGACAAAACAGGGCTTGAAATAACTTCTTCAAAATCAGTGTACATGTCATCTTCTCCAAAATAATTTTCCTAGAAAAAGAATGTTACGACCATACAGAAAACAAATTAAAAACATAGAGGCAACGTAATGAAATACAAATCAAATCTTTTTCCATATGTTAGTCCTCCCTAAAATAAGCAGTATAACTACAGCCTATAGCTGAAGAAACATATACTACTATTTTGTGAAAAATGGATACCGTAAGCAACAAAATTTAGGCCATGTGCTTCACAAGAAAAGAAGGGGCTCTCAGTAGTTCTCAAAGTACCGGTATTCTAGACACGTGTAACACAAATAACTATCCTGAAGTACTACTAGAGATGTTTTTAAATAGATTTTGTGATTTTAAAGGCAGAGAACTTCGAAAGTAAGAACACAAGACACATCCTGCAGGAAGTCACCCTCATGCAACCTTCTGAAACTTGTTATCAGCAGATTTCAAAGTCTTAAACATGCTTCTAAAGTGCTAACTCTCAAGCATTTCTCCCTCTGGGTCTAAAAATCCACCTTGTTTCTAAGTTAACCACCCTCAATTATTTAAGACTGAAGTAACTTTGCCAAATTCTACTGGGAAAAAGGAATTCCATCACTAATTTAAAAAAAAAATTTAAAAAATTAAAAAATCAGCTTCCTGTGTTTTATTTAAGTGCATCAGAATCAGGTTTCTGATAATTTCTCACCTCCTCTCTCCCAAAAAAAAAAAAAAAAATAAGGCTAGACTTTCAAGAAGAATTTTCTGAATGATACAGGTTGTATTTCCTTGTTAATTCAGTACATGGGAAGCGTTGGGGACAAAGCATTCTGTGGAGCAAAGCCCTTCCTGACCAAAAGGCTACAGCACAGATGCAAACGTAGCTCCCTCATTCGTTCGTCGAAGGTAAATCAGTCCCTTGGCCTCTCATGTTGACAGAAATGTTCCAGCTACGTTTTCTCCCAAACACCACTGATAATTTGTGAGATGCAGACAAATTAGTACTACACTAAACAGAAACAGATTCTTTCCCTTTTCTGCGACTCATTTGCCTTCCAACGCTTTGTTGTTTTGTAAGCACAAGCCTGCAGCGCAAGCAAGCAAAGAGTAAGTGTACAACAAAAAGAAAGCAAGCAACTGCAAGGTACACGTGTCCTTGAAAAAAGCTGGGGAAAAGGCAGCCTTCAAATCACGACTCCTGTGGACACATAATTTTACCATCTCGTCCTACTGTCTGAAGTATTTTTGGTATTGACACGTACGAACCAAGCATTGCTCTGCAGCCAAACCAAAAAACCCTCAGAAGTTAAGCAGAGCCAATCTGCTTCGCTTTTTAGCAAAGGCAGAAGATAAAGGTCGACGTTACGATGCAGACCTTGAAATATTTTTTTTTTTATAAGGCAGACCCAGCAGAGGGTGCTGAGAACTCCAGTAACTTACTCCTGGTACCTGCTCCTCGGGACACAAGGACCTGTAAATCATGCGTTCCCAGCCAGGAAGCCCGTTGGTAAGAAACACAGCGCACTACAGTGAAAAAACACCTCCCAAGGACAGAAGGCTTAACAAAACCGCGTGAACCGTGCATGTCCAGGAATCTCTCCCACATGTATTAAAAAAGATCAATGAAAACAAACTGAAAGCAACCATTCAACCACAACTCAGGAAAACAAGCATACCACTCCCCCCTAGAAATCTATTAAGAGATGCTGCCAGCACAGCTGGACAAAAATACTCAAAAGAACAACAAATATGTGTTTTCAAAAATGAGCTCTTCATCTAAATTTTCTCTTGAGATTTAGAGGATAAAAGCTCGATTTGATCTGAGAAATATGCACCTAAGAAAATTAAATCATCATAGAATCAAGGGATCTAATGTAGCACTGTTTACATATACCTCCAGAGGCAAAGAGCACTGAAGAAGTGCTGATTTGCTTGGAAAGACACAACCACCTCATGAATTTATGGGCCCCAAAAGAGGAGCTCAATAAACAATTCAAACATTGGTGCATTTCCTCTGTATCACAAGAAATTAATTCTTCAAGATGCAATACTGGCCTAATTATAATCCTATTTACTTTAGTGGCAACATGAAACAATAATGAGCATATTTGCAAGTCCTATACAAAACCGTAGTATTTTCTGTTATTCATTGCTTCCGTGCAATGCCTTATATAAACTCATAAAAATTACTGTTTCAGTATGAATCCTGACACTGATCCCCTGCCTCAGAAACTTCCTTGTCCTCTGACCCAAAATGAAAGCCTCCAGAAGCATTAACTTAGCCTAGATCTGAGCAGGCTAAACCAGACCTTTTAAAAAAACCCCAAAACAAACAAAAAGGAACCTCCAAAAAACCCACCAAAAAACCCTCCAACCACAACAGCCAAGCATTTAACTGTTAGTCAGAAGCGACACATTCAACTGCCCCTGCTTTTGTCACAACAAGGCAGGGTGAGGGAGGTGAGAAGAAACTAAACTGTTTCTAGCCATCCTGAAGATCAGTAACGGAAGAGGACACAACATAAAAGCAACACAAACATTTTGAAGCGTAATAGATTAACATCAAGAAAAGGATGAAAATTTTTTCTCCCACATTGATTGAAGTAGCTTTTTAAATTAAACTTATTCTCATGTCCTTCCCCTCCACGATCCTAACTCCAGAAATTTCACGATTCTAATTAAAACAAAACCAAACAATTAGGACACTCTGCAGAACTTAAAATGCACTAAAAGCATGGGTTCTGATACATCTTTGCATAAAAGTGTTTGTTATTATAAGCTCATAAATAATGTTGCGGGGTTTTTAGGTTTTTTGCTTGTTTTTTTTTTCACTACTGCAAAAGTCAAAGACGACATTTTCTGTACATGAAGCCCAGAGCACGTACTATTCCTTGAAAGGAAAATTATGCTGCTATGGGTCCACACATATGTATTGGAAGACTTCTCATAAGCCTGTGCCAACTGAATTCACCCCAGCTACGCCACATCACCAACCAAAGTCATTCCAAACTAGCACTTACAAAAAGTTTTCGTCTAAATTCACGTATTCTGCAGAAGTCTAATTTTCCAATTTCAAATAAATTATTTCCCTTTACTACATGAGGCCATCCATAAGTTTTACAAGTTATGTTCCTACGCCTACCTTTATGGACAGAAAGGCTTTGAGCAGGGGTCCATACAGGGTCAGCTGGGAATCTGGAGAGAGTTCCAGTTCCACATGGAGCTTATCCGGGGGCAGCTCTGAGGGGTCGAGGGGAAGCCGGGTTGAAGCTGTGGGAGATGAAATCACGCTGTCGGCTGTTTTCTGCGACGGCCTTAGCACAGATAACATTGTTTCTTCCATTTCTGACACTTTGGAGCAAAAGAAAGAAGAAAACAGATTTTGATCGCAAGTTAGGTTTCTGACAGATAAAATTCTGCAAATATGAATGTCTATTAAATATACAACTTTTTGCAGCATTCTCATTTAGATTACATAATTATGTTAATACGCCTATGCTACAGAACTGGTTTCTCACATCTAGTAGCTATGGGAAGACAGGGAAATATAGAATATTTTAGTCAAAGTTAATTATGCAAGAGATAAACAGTCCTTCAAGATCTGAAAAAAAATTCAATTTATTTATCTTGCTTTTCAAGTTAAACAAAGACATGCTTTCATTTCAGCATAGCAGATTTCCCACAACCACACAGCTATTGCAGAACAAACAACAGTGAATAAACAGGAAAATTGCAAAAGTTGTATTAAAAGCCTATTCTGAATTGGTAGCTCTGTAGGCCAAGATTTCCTCTCAAACATCTCAATTACTCTAGTCACAAAACAGTTTGGAAATTCAAATCTTATCTCCTATCCCTTCTTTTGATTTGGAGTTAGCGAGAAGAAAGCACTTTGTCTTTTTTAAGTGAGGAAAGGCGACAAGAAGGAAGTGACTGGAAGCGCTTTGGGGGATATAAAGCAATTGCTGGGAAGTAAAGAACTCAATCGGGAAACCATATAAAACCAGCGCTGCAGACAGAGTAAGATTTCAGGTGCCAGTTTAACTGGAAGAACCGACACATGCAGAACTGCAGTGAATACACATCTGCACCTGGCAAACCTTCAAGGCTTCACCTTACCACTATTGCCTTCAGCGCTTGCATTACATTGTGTGTTATAAATTAGCTAAATGCTGCGATGAGATGACCACTTTTTTTGGAAGTTGCATCTCTTGTTATGCCACATACTTGCTCCTCAAAGACTTAGAAAGTTCTATGGATTGACTCACAAGTAAATACAGATGTTGCTACCGCAACAAATGCATTCGATCAGCAGCACAGACTAGAAGCGAGCGGGACTGTGCTGGATCATTCGTTGAAGGAAGCTGCAGATGAAGTTACCTGCGTACGTACAAACTTTCAAATGCAGGTTCAATTGCTACAGTTCTGAGTAAGTGTTTTCAGATCTGAAGTATGCAAATTTGACACGAGCTGAAAGTCTCACAAGAGCACTTAATGAACATCTGCAAGATGAATCTTACTTTTTCTGCTTCGTCCTCTAAAATTTGAGTTCTTTTAGATTTGAATGGTTGGAACTCAAAATCTAAAAACCCCATCCAGCATGTCTTCTAACACCTGCTGATTGAGGCCCATTCAAATTAGCCCTCATTATTCTTCTAACACCTCTTCTTCATCGGTTTTGCTTCCACCAGCTCAACCTGAAAGACTTTCATGTAACCCCCATAACTTCCTGCATACCTCCCTCTGCATTTAAAGTAACTTCCTTTTATCTCTGCATTTAAGTATCTTATAACTTTTTTTTTGCAAGCACATAGTTATAGAATAATTCTTATTTAGAAATATTTAGACATTTAATATTTAAAAATTCTTATTTAGAAATCAGCGTTACATCGACCAGTCCAACACTCATATCCGACAGCCGTGGTTCACTTCAACAGTGCTAGCTACAACAAAATTTCAGTTTCATATCCATGAAGGTGAGACAGTGCTACTGTATCTCATATACAGTGTATTTAAACATTTAAATCATAAAACAACGTCCAAATGAAAAAAGCTTAGAAAGGCTAAAGAACATGATACTACCAAAAATATTGTGCTTCCTATTTAACATACCGAGCAGTACCTTATGTTAGGCAACAACCCATTTAAGAGATCCACTTTGTTAAGGACAAGAAGTGAACTACAGACAGTATTCTCTTTCTTACACAGGGAACTGGGACTTTCTGAAATTTTGCATCATGAGACGTCAGTTTTTAAATCACACCTGGTGCATTCTAAAGACCAGCATTCTCCCATGTGACATAAAATAGTAGTTCAGTTCAACATTCATTTTGGCAAATTTAAGCCAATTTGATCCAACAAAGTCACAGCAGTTCCTGAAACGAAACTGTGCTAACAAGAAAAAAAAAAGGAATGACACTTACAGGATTGTTTTAACTGCTCATCTGCCTTTTGAGGATAAATTGGGTGCCACGAGTAGTCAATTGTAAACACAACACTCGGGACAGTCCAGCATTCGACCCATCCAGCCCTTTCAAAAAGAAATAGCATACTTTTATTTGAAGTACAAAAGTTCCATTAAATATTTTCCATTAACATAAGAGGCTGCTTTCATCACAAACAAAATAAGTAAATATGAAGAGCCAACACAAAGACATAAATATATTTCACTCACTCTTCTTGAGTAATGTTCCTCCATTTGGGTTTGCCTGTTTTCTGACCACTTTGACACTCAGCAGAAATACAAGATTCAGGACTTATTTTATTAGGCTGACAATCTTTCACCAACATAAAAAGGGAATATTTACTAGGATGACAATCTGGTAGGTACAAATGAAGATCAACATCTTCTCCCTGAAACATTAGTGACAGAAAGGTTAATTTACATTCGCTTCATGCATCATGTTCACGCTATTTGCACGTTCATGTGCGCCATCATCTTCACTTCACAGGCCAAGCGAGGCAAGAAACCTCAATTTTCACATGCGATTGCTGACCGCAGCTCCCACCAATTTCTAGTCCAGTACCAAGAGCTCTGCAGTTCTGAACAGTTATAAGTCCATTAACGTGCACATAACAACACACCATAGTAATCTGTAAAACACAGGAGGGCGGGGCTTTTAATTTAATTATTTTAATGATTCCTCCTCTTCTGTTGTTCAAGCCATACTGCAAAAGTTAAGTGACTGGCTCAAGGCTACCCTGTATCTCAACTAATCCATACTTTTTAAAAAAAATAATTAGATAAAACATTGCTTTCTTTGCTATCAAATTATACAAAATTACCAACATTACCATCAACTATTTTTTTATTTTTAGTAGCAGCAGACTGCTTCTATTTTAGGGAAGACAAGAAGTGCAGTCTTTCAAAGAATTAGCTGCATCTGTTAAAAACATTTTATCATCATTACTCATTTTACAGGAACTCTTAAATATCTGGAAGATGGTTTTCGAAAATGGTTTGGGGGTACCCATTCCAGTATCTGACTTTTATCTGTGAACACACATTAGATTTTCACATTTTTTAAATAAATGGGAAAAGACTTCCAAGTGATAAAACACACGCATAGATACACACAGTCTAAGTGTACGCAGTAAATACACATACTGAATGTGTGTATATATGTACGTATGAAGCATAAGTGTACATATATTTTTAAAATCTCTCTTTATTTGTGTGTATATATATGGATATATTAATTAAACAGCCTATGACTGGATGCTTCATATAAGCAACAGAAACCATTTACCTCTGGGTTACTTAAAGAAAAATTCTATGAACCAGAAGTGAAAGAGCTAATTTTCTTTCAGGAAAGAAAGAGTTTACTCAAAATTTCCTGACTGAAGAAGAAAAGGTAGGGAAACTAGCTCACATTTAGAAGACAAAAGGGGCGAGGAGGGAAGAACTTACCCTTAAAGAGAATCTAGTATTACATGTGGTTGGAACAAAGTCAGTGAAAGGCAGAGAGAAAACAATGTTCAGTGTCTCTCCACAAGCTGCTAGATAAACTGGGAGGGAAGAGGAAAAAACAAACAAAAAAAATCCGTCAGAATTGCTCCTTACTTTGTTCTTAGACAAATTATCAAACATACAGGTAAAAATAATGAAAATATATTCAAGAACTCATGACATAGGAAATTGCCATTTTAACTACTGGGTATTTGGAGTCCATTGTACTAAATCATTCTGAAAGTATTTACTTTCCACAGCTTGTCCTTTTCAGAAAGGGACTGTACTTAGCAGAATGAAACTGCACGTAGGCAATAGAAACAACTGCAATAATACCTTATGATTGACTTTATTGCTTCACACACCAGTTTTTGGACAAGAAAACACACATTGAAAGTTCCTCGGGCTTCTGATGAAATAGTGAGCCTTATTTTTAACTAGAACACATCTTCCAGATTTTTAATCCACCATCCTCTTTCTACATTGAAATTACAAGATTCTAGTACAGTATAGACCACTGAAATATGTATAAACCAAATTGCACATTAAACAAAGTTTTGGCTTTCTGAAGTGTACCTCTTAGTTTTGTCTAGAATTAGCAACATTATCTCCTATTCTGAAATGAACATTTCTAATTATACGGAGTTCAAATGGTATTTTTCCAACATTACTTAAAAAATTTATTCCCGAGTGAATGTTTCCAGTTAGCTTACGAATGCATGTCAAGACCTCGTGGTTGCTCTCTGCAAACTGTTGTACTAAATCAAAGATTCAAAGGGTCTTGAAAAATGAATGCTAAAACGTGATCTAGGACTGCACTCTCCCCAAAGAAGGTATGCAGTTGTACAAAATAAGTGGACACATACAAGAGTTTTAGGACGGTTTATGACATCAACAGTAGCAAAATGGGTAGTTACCACTGACCACACATTTTTCTGGTAAAAATTTTGTAATCCTTGTACTCTATATACACTCTATTGTTTGTAGTATGTACTCTTCTGCCAAATAAAAAGTGATCTCACCATTTTCTTGCTGTTTGGTAGAACAGTCAATCCAGTTGTGCTGATTTGCTGCCCAAATCATTTCAAACTGATGAAACATGACTTTGAAGTTCCACATATAAGGAACAAATGAAAAAATATCCGGTGCGCTATCACTGGACCAGTCTTGGATCAAATCTAAACTCACATAAAGTAATAAAAGACAAGTTAGTAACAATCAAGTGAGAGATTTCTTCTTTTAAGTTTTTAACTTTTCCTAAATTGTAAATCTTAACCGTTTGCTCCTTCACAGGAAAAGGAAAATGAGGAGAACAATACACAGTATCCATTTCTCAAGCAGATGTTCCACAAATATATGGTGTGAATCCATCTCCCTTTTCTCATCTGCTTTTTAAGTTGGAAAGCCAGAGGTTTAATTAAGTTTTCTACTTTAGTTTTGTTCAGTAGCACAGTTACACATGGACCCAAATGCACTGCACTACCAACTGCCTTCCTTTGGTTTTCCACTCTGATATTCTGCATGAGTAGTATTTTCTGACCCAGCAAACCAGTGTTGTTGCACAAGTTCACGTTTGCTCTGAATAGATTGGTAGACGACGCTGCATTCTGCAGCACTACACAGATAATGGCTCTGGCCTCACTAGGAGGATAACTTTATTAGCATGGCACTATGCCTGCACTAATTAATCCTTCCTCCCAGCACTGCTAATTAGCCCAGGCAGCGCCACATTGATGGGGCTACATTCTTTCCATTACTGCAGCTGGAATGTTCAGCAACAGTTTGGTGATGCTGTATCACATTGTCCTGCCTTGTGCGCGTCTATTCTTCCTCACAGCCAAAATCCTAAGGAGCAAATTACTTTCTCTCACCATCTGTCAGCCACAGCGACATGACCTAAAGCCTAAGTAGTTGAAAATCAGTCAACCAAAGAGAGTGCTATCAGAGAAATCCACATCCTAGGTGACAATATTAAACAAATCAATAGCTCTGATGGAAGTAAATTCACCTGAAATTTAAGATCACTTAACATAACTGCAGATCAAATTTAGTTTAGATGTTAGAAAACTAAATTATTTGGTATTCTACTCAAATATAAGAATATCACGTACTTAGACACTTACAGGCAACAGAAAACATCAGGAACTTTGTCCTCAGAAACAACTTGTTGTCCTAAATACGTGAAATCAAACTACCTGACCTTGTACGCCTTTGCAAAATTTGAAAAGACATTCCAAAGAAAGAATATTTAATTTGACATCTAACTTATTTAGTGAAGAAGTTACCTGTAAAGAAGCTTTTCTGAGCAAAGATAAAGTGATATGTTGCTTTATAAACCTCAAGTTCACACTGCCATGTCTGTGGCATGTTCCATATCCGGGGATAGCTGGCATTAATATGAAACTGTGAACAAGATATTAAAGCATCAGAATTACTTGAAAAGATGACAATGCTTGACCCTGTAGCTCAGCAGTCTTCACATATGCACTCTGCTGAATAATTAAAACTGTTTCTGAGATGAACAGAAGGCCTCTCCAGTTCCTTAATAATTTAATCTCTCTCTCTGTGTTTGAAGGTCAAGTTTAATGTATTCATTTATTTGGAAAGGTATATTACGAACTTCTGATACATCTGTTGCAGTAGACGTACTAAGCAATTTATAAACCAAAGTTGCCATCAAAAGCAACACTTTTCACAATACACTAAGGATAAAATCCCTCAGAATATAACTTTTTCAACCATTGATATAATGCTCAAATTTAAACACTAAAAACATCACTCTAACAAGCTTATTTAAAGAACAGTGAGAAAGGTAATCTACAGAATTACAGTACTGCAGAAGTGAAACACTAGGCAAACAAAAGAATAATGCGCTATTAATTCTGTCTCAAGTAGGTTAAGCACTCTGAAGTACTTTTAGGTACTTACGCACGCACATTCCGTAGCACAGCTAGCCAGTGTAATCATCTATTAAGATAAAGCCTATATGAACACATGGCTACATAGGAAACAAGGCAAGTTTTGTAAATGGTACTCCAATCCCTCCACTGCTTTCAAAACACATATAACTTGGTATATAAATTGATAAAAGTCGCTGAAAGTTACACACATGCATAGTTATGTGTGTATATGTAAGTTGCTTACATATTAAGGTCTTGAAAAACACATTCAAAAGGCCTATTTCTGTATTGTTTAAGAACCTAAAGAACTGCTTCACAGACAAATAAATATTCTTTATTAAAAATCCTCCAGAGACTGAAGCTTTGTGCTTATTAATGCAAACTTACAGCTAGCATTTCAGCTTCCAAGAGAGTCCGATATTGCATACTGCTGGTGGCATCAACATGCAGAAGCTGCCCTTTAATTGTAGGTGAATAGCCTAGCAAACAAAAGGGATAAAACACAATCGTTCAGATAGAAGAGTTATACAAATATTTAAATAATTTTCACCAGTGATTTCAGTAGCCCACTAACAAACAATTTAACAAAGGGCTTCTAACCAGCCAACAAGATGAGTAAATGCAAGGGACATACTCATAGCTTTACCTTTATCTCCACTTCACCTTGGATTTTTAAATTATTAGTTTTCATAATGTATTTCTCAGCATGATTCAGCTACTACCCTAATCCTACTGAAGAAGTCTTCCTACGTTGAGCTGACAAGTATCTGCAATCTGCTTCAATGCACACACAGTTAAATGATACACTGTCTAGTAGTCAAGGAATTTGTGTTTCCTAACCCAAACAAAACATGAAGGTTTTAATACACAGATTCTTTAATGTCTTGAAATGTAGTGTACAAGGAAATACGCTTTGTTCCTTTACATCAGAATATACAACTCGCAGTCACAAAGGAAAAACACTAGAAGACATTCACACACATAGGAATTAAGATAACTCTTCAGGAAAAACAGGAAAAATAAATTAAGCTCATCCTTAACTCACCGTTTTCACCTACTGTCATGGGAATATTTATTTCCAAATATGATCCTGCACCAACATTTACATGTACAGCATTAGTTTCCTGTATTGCAAGAAAGGAAAAGTCCAAACATTATTTCTAAACTCACCGCATCAACCAGTGTACCTTATGCCTCTGCCTATCATTATCCACACCTGGATTAAGGCACCTGATGACTGAAGCCTTCCTTGCCTTCAGAAAAATTACTAATGAAGTATCTATGTACACTGATACCAAATAACGCCATTTTTAGGCTTAACAAATGCTGACTTTGGTCCACTAATAGAAGCAGCATAAGATATTGTGATCCAAGGCCTGAGAGGGCAGATGAATATATATTTCTAACACTGCTCTTTCTAACCCTTTCAGTCACAAAAAAAACCCCTAACAACAAAAAAAACAGGTGTACAAAGTAGTCATGCTATATCCCATTTATAGAAGCAGCAACAGGGAAAAGAAAAATCCAAACCCCCTACACATACACATCTCTTGTTCCTCCCACTATCATCTCTCCAGTAATATTACTCATCCAAAATCAGAAGAAATTCTCTTTTCATCACGATGAGCTTCATTGTAATGGAAGACTACAAAGAAAATGCCCAGATCATGAATTCCCAAGACTGTAGGAGATGGCATGGCTTAAGATGCAGCTTTAAGGCTTAAAAGAAACTTAAAATAAGCCAACAAATATTAATGCCTCTCAGCCAATATTTCTCTTCGAAGAGTTTGCTCATTATTATGGAGGACTAAAACAAAAATCACCTAGCTCTTAAAACCCTAGCTCTGTAGTAAACACCCAAGACAAAGAAAAATAATGCACAGCCAAAGACCACAGTATAATCACAGTAGACAAGTTCTTTTCTAGATAAGTTTTCATTATTTACCCTATTTTTGGTAAAAAGCAAATCAATGGTGGCATCTGCAATAATATTCATCCGCAGTTCAAAAGCAAGGATCTGTCTTGGTTTCCCAGGCTGTGCAATTTCTGAGACTTTCATAACTTGGTAGTCTGGTGGAAAGAAAAACTTCCACAAGCAATCCCTGGGTGGGGGGAGAAGAAAAGAAGAGAGTTGTTTTTATTGACAGAAGAAATATACATATATTTATATACATACATCTATTTGGTTCACTCAATTATCTTCCAGTTAGCTGAGCACTTAAACAACGACTGGATACGGTAAAAAAGAATGTTTGTTTAAAGTTTTCATCATGGGAGCCTTCCAACTCATTAGTGAATGTCCAAAAGTTTCAATGACAAGAAGTGACTTCTGCATAAAACCCAGAAATAGACTGACCATAAACGACTTAGCACAAAAACATTGTAATTCAGATGGCAAACAAGCTACAAAAACATAGTAGGAACCAATCTTTTGTGCTTCGGTTTGTGCATAAATAATTGAGGTAACACCCAGAAATAAACATAATACAAAACTTCAGGACCTCCGAATGGGAGTGGAATGAAGCCTACGTGTCTGAACACTTGTATCTGAATATGCAGCTACATGAGACAAAAGCCACAGCGATGAACCACAGACAGCATAGCTTATATAGGCCTCAAGGGGGTGGAAGTCAAGTTTTTAAGGAGGGCAGCAGTTTCCTGCACTCAGCACCTGACCACTATAGCAGCCTAAAAGTTGAAAAAAAAAAAAAAAAAACAAACCAAACAGAACCCACAACAAAAAAAACAACAACAAAATTCCCACACACAGCACACAACACACACTATCAAAATCCTGGGGAAACCTAAGATTTTATTGCATGATGTATTAGAGATCAGTGTTTGTAGAAGCCCTTACATGAACTGAGAGCACAAAGTCCACAGAACTCCTACAGATCTGTGCTTCTATAACTTTCAGGCAGTTTCCAAAATTCTTCTACTCATGGCACAATGTGGAAGTGCTCCCAGGCACATTTCTACGAACTCTACGGATGCTTCACAGGCACCAAACTGCCTTCTTCTGTCTATTTATTATCTAGATATTTTAGCGACAAAATATTAGGCCAGCGCTCTATTACTAGTCTTCACTTAGCCCTGTTTCGCACATGACTATTTCTGGCAGAAACAAAAAGATTGTTTAGAGAGTAAAGGACTATTAAGTAAAAGTGACACAATCAGTGCTTTCCCTTTTTTCCCTTATTAATTACAGATTGATACTTCTCTTGGCCTCCATTAATTCTCCTGTGAAACTACTATGATTAACTGTCTCTTAGGAGCGCGAGGATGGCAGACCAAAGAGCAGTCATTAGATATGACAGTGTCCTAGAGAATTTAAGAGAAAATGCCAATTTCCAGAACAGCACTTTGATAGGAACATGAAGTCAGTGAATCATTAATGATATTTTTAACATTACCAAGAAAGCTCACTCTGTGATGGTATGCTTTTTATAATTTTAACTGGCTAGACAGAAGGCAGTTCGGTACCTATGCAGCACTTGTAGAGTTGATAGATATGGACCTGGGAACACTGCTGCATCGTGCCATGGATTGAAGATGCAGTGTGTTCCCATCCATGAGCTAACGGGAGTTTGACAAGTCTAAAAGTAACCAAATAAAAGGTTAAACCCTTAGGTATGTAGCACTTGATAAATAGTAAAATTACTTTGTTCACAAAAAAAGGAACATAATTTATTAGAAATAAAAAAAAAAAACAAAACCAACAAATCACTGAATCACTGAGTGATTCTAACTTTGGAAGGCCAACAAGACAAACAGCAATGAATTTACTAACCTTAAATCATTGTGGCAGGACTCTTCTTTTAGACTGCCTAGTCTACCCCATACAAATTAGGAGTGAGCAATAGCACACTTGACACTTTAGAATGTTTTCTCAATAATAAAAGATACTGAAGATTAAAACTAAACGTGTAAATCACGGAAATACCTCTGCCTGTCAGCCCACGGTCCATAGTTGAAATCTGTTCCTTTTCCACAAACAATGTCCAAACCCCAGCATGGAGGCAGATCCTGTAATTTGCTGTCTTCGTTGTTTGCTTCTCCATCATTACTTTCCTCCGTCTCCTCTGGTACAAGACCTATATTACATAATATAATAAACGGATTATTAAAGGAAGCTGCTTCAAATTAGCATGAAAAATGTTTGCTAAGCACAAGACAATTAAAGTTCCTGATGTCAGTTTTACTTGAGACCACTACAGTCCGTAAATATCAAGCCACAATTCAATGCAGAGTTGCAGTGGAAGGGCAAGAATATGACCAAAAATCTTGGGGATTTTCTGAAGCTCTGCTCACTGATGTCAGTGAAATGCTGGCAGACCCAGCAGTTTTCTCTCTTAGGTATGCTTTTTACCAACACAGGCTTTCATACATCCACATTCAATTCCGAATCCTACTTACAAACCAAGTTTCAAAGCTAAGGTTACGTTAATTTCCACAGACAATGCAAGCAAATAAAGAGGGAAACAGTAGACTAGTAAAAATTTAAGCAGTCAGCAAAGATCCAAAAATGCCACCTATCCTACACCACTATACATCGTTATGGGAGGTGTTACCATTGTTCAAGACTCAGGCAATACTTTAAAGCGGAGTTTTAAAAAGAACTCGAGCAAAATGAAGTTGTAATATAATGCACCGGATTTAAAGTGCTATTTAAATATTATTCACCACAATATTCAGAAATTGATGCGTCAAACTTCCCCAAAAACACAGTAGTTATTGACCACTCCTGAAGTACTTCTGGAAACCTACATCATTTAAGTTTACACTTAAAACATAACTTGTTTCAAGAATAGTTATGAAGATTAATTGCTTTCATGTTGCATACAGACTCGCAGGAGGTACTGCTGACAGAGTACCCACATCTATATAAAACTACTCACTGATAGTTCTACATGCATGGTTATTTCATCTATGGAATTCCCCAGGCCTCTTGCATGAAACTGTCTAGAAGTCGACAACAATCATCAGAAAGAACGCAGCTCAATTTCTCTCCTTGTAAATACAAAACAGGTGAACTCTCCCCCACTGGTTTTAGTGGAAATTTTTTTCATTTGCAGAAAAAATAACTTATGAACTTATAAGTATTCATAAGCGTACTTATGAATGCTTTTATTGGTTCCAAAACATTACACTGTTTCAGCATAGAGACTTTTCAGCATTATAAACAAGAAATTGTCTGGACTTGCCAGACAATTAAATAAACAAGTAACTGTCAAATCCCTTAAAATTTTATCTTTGTATCTAACAGAAGGTACCTGGCTCATCCATATAGTAATAGATATCAACATCATTGGACTGCATTACAACAAAACCTTCACCCATCAGCCTCGGTGGTCTGTAATGGAAAAAAGCAGAAAAGATAAAAGTTAAAAAGCAATGCAGCCAGATTAATCTTCATCAATTTAAGTAATTTTAAATGCAACATATTAAGCATAATGGAAGAGACTACATAGATCAGGCTCACTTGCAGCTTCTAAGTGGCACACATTTAACCCTGGAATCGTCAATAAAACTGCTATCTGTAACAAACAAACCAACAACAGAGATACAGTGCACGTGGTACCTGACTAGGAAGATTTTGTGGGCAAGACTTGAGTCTGATGTGATCCCAAGACACTGAGCTCCATGCGTCATTACTGGTCTTGCCAGCAGCATGACTGCAGGCTGCCTGCAGGAGCCACAGGCTATCTTGTCAACCAGGCTCCCGTCTGGTCACCTTACCAGAAGGGTCGGTGGAGCAGACAGAAGTGCCCGGGCCACACCACATCTGTCCAAATGCAGCTGTTTGTAAGCTCAATTTTGAAGTGCAGTGAACTTCAGTTCCCCTCTTCCCCTCCCTATCACACTGTGATTCCCGGTCTATCTGCTACCTCAGACTAAATGAGCTTCTGAAAACAAACACTGTGAATATTCAAGTCTATCTGGTCTCAGATCTCCTCTCAAAAAGGCAGATGTCATATTGACAGGCCACGTCTACCCTGATTCGCAAAAAATACTTGATCATTACATTATTATTATTGTTATTATCATTACAGAAAATAAATTAAAAGTTTCGTTAACTCAAGCATGAAGATACCAGCTTCCTCTCCACAAAGACATTTCTCAGGTAGTATAAAACACAACCAACTACCAAAGTTTTACTTTCAATGTTTCTTTCCATCAAGAGTTCCTTTCTCCTTGTCCTATATTGTTCTTTCACCTGCTAATTCTTTTCTTACTAAAATAGCACTCTAAACCAAAGGGACAAGACATCTTCAGTAATTAGACCATTAGTTTTAAAAAAAAAAAAAAAAAGGCTGTTCTTCCTTTGTTCTTCCTTAATAACATTTCCCTCAATATAAAAGGATCTAAGTGATAAAACTAATACACGAAACACTTCTAACACGGTACGCTGGTACATTACAATCCCTTTCTTACAGTCCTACCACATCTTAATTTACATAATATTACATTTCATATTAGTAATAATATTATAACGTGAACATTCTATTTTTACTGCAAAAGACCTTTTTGCCACTTTTCAGCCACTTTATAAATTGTCACCTCTTAACGAAAAAAGACAATTCCAATGACAGAAATACACCATCTAAGAGTGTGACCTGTCAGAAGCACATTCCCAGTTTACCACAGCTCAAACTCAGGAAAGCTTGGAAAATATGGAAGGCAGCAGACGCAGATCCCACGTACTGCTCAAAGTTCTTCAAAAGCAAAAGAGCAGGAACATTAAAATTAATTTTACTTTGAGAGTAATGACAGCAGTGAAAGATTAAATACTTCCTCTTCACTCCCAATTTTCCAATTATTTCCTTTTTTCTGTCCAGAATTGGCCTCCCCAATGAGATGCAAATAGAGCAAGATGTGAAAAGAATTGTGTCGTGGTTCAGGAATAGAAGTGGGAAGGAAAACACAGAGATATATGAATAGTAGTTCAAGGGAAGAGCTCAGTGTATTCTGCCCACGCTCCTCAATAGGCACGGGCAGGTCAGCAAGACTGGAAAGCACGCCGTGGCGCAGCAGCGG